GGGGGGGGGGGGAAAGGGGGGTATCGTCGATGTGCAGTTTCTATATATCGCTTTATGTAAGGGCAATTTCATTTCTTTCAAGCTGTTTTTGATGCCATCGCTTTATCTTACGCATTCATTTCCCATTGCTATGTGTTCAGTATACTTCGTTAGCGTGGTTGTCTGTGGCAGGCATTTCTCTGGACCTCAACCTTGCAAACTCGTGGAAACAAAAATACCATTATGTTGTTATAATCGACGACACTGCATATTGTGCTTTCCCATGCGTGCTGAGTCCCCAGACGCAGCAGCCACGACACGATGCCATTACTGACTTTCGCATGAGAAGTTTTATGGTGAAAATCGAACCTGTCGCACTCTCTCAGGTTAAAAGCACACTTAACTAACCATGTCACTACCTTTCAAAGAACGTTTTATCCGAAGTCAGTTCCAGGACCGAACAGTTTGATAATCATAGAATCACATGACATTTGAAAAACAAATTCCCTGAAACTGCTTGGTATATTTCGTTCTAAATTATTTTGTGAATTAAATGCCTTTTTTCTTCAGTACCTCTCTCTCTCTCTCTCTCTCTCTCTCTCTCTCTCTCTCTCTCTCTCTCTCTCTCTGCCTCCCCCCCCCCCCATTTTAAATCTCTCAATCTCTCTCTCTCTCTCCCTCTCCCCCCCCCCACTCCCCCCCCCGCCCCAACCACTCCACCCTTCTATTTCCCTCGCGCGCTGTCACGTTCTGTCCCCATCTTTTTGAAAACGATCTAATGGAAAAAGAAGTTCCTGTCCTTGCGTATAAACTCGCCCACGTAAAGTGTCGTTAGCCAGACATCGCCTTTTTTGTCTCCTTACGCCGTTGTCACCGCCTTCTCTTATTAGTTATATTGATTTTATAGGCGTTTGAGAAGGGTGTGTGGGGGGGGGGTGGGGGGGGGCGGGGGCAGAGTGCTCTGGTAAATGTTTGTGCGTGGGAGTGTGTCCTCTTTTTGTATTTTTCTTGTCATTTCTTGCACGAGGTTTCAGCGCGGAGATGGCGACTCCAAGCTATCAATGGTTAGTAATTAGATTGTCTTGTTTGATTTGGCGCTTTCATTCCCGTCTTGTGGGTGTGTGTGCGCATGTGTCAGTGAATATGTGTATGCGTGTTTGTATGCGCGTGTGCGTGCATCCATATGTGTATATACGTATATATTTTATTGTTGTGTGTTCCTGTTATTTACGCACTGGTACTTTTAAGCTTTTTCACCTCATCTCGGGGGCTGCGAGATTTGATACGGAATTCCTAGGGAGTTCTACGGAAGGTCATGACCTATAGTAAAGGGGTGATAGCATGATGGTTAGTTTCCTCGTCCTGTTCTTTCCTTCGCCCGACTTAAATTAGATATCTATTTCTGCAATGTCGTCTCTAGTATGAACCTTACTGCCTTCTGTAATTCGACTACCGACGCGTAAAGTTCCGCTTGTACTGGTGTTTCTCTTAGGCAGACATTAGGCAGTTGGAGAAACTTTTTGGTAGACACTGACAAAGAAGCCATCTTTTGGTATCAGCGGAAAAGGGTCCTGAAAATAAACTACTCCATGTCTGCACACCCGTCGATTAGGGTCAGGGTTAAGGTTAGATGAGAAAATGCTGACAGGTCAATGGAATTCATGGTGAAAGCGAGAGCGACAAGTTAAACCAAACATGGCAAAGGGATGGCAACTAAGTAAGGATAATAACACACACTGGAAATGATGATACAGAAAACGACGAGCTCGCTGAAAAAGACCAACACATGACACGACTAGAAGACAGCAGTTTTAGTTTTGTAGAGTCATTTTTAAATGATCACAGACTAACATTTATCCTAACCCTAGACCCCTCTATACTATAGGACCTTCTGGGAAAGTCCCTACCAAATCTCGCAGCCGTCGAGATGAGATAAAAAAAAAAAAAAAAAACCTGAAAAGAACCGATGCACTTTTTCTCCTCCTCCTTCTATAGCTTCTGCTGCTTCTTCTTCTTCTTTATCCTTCTCCTCTTCTCCATTTTTCCAATATTTTCTTTAAGCTATTATAAATTACTAACTAACCATTATTTTACTATTTTTTCCATATTTAAAATCTATATTTGTTTACCCCCCCCCCCCCCCCCGGTCATGTAAATTCTATATAAATTCTTGCAAGTTAATTTCAAGTCGTTGTCGAAGCAAATTTTATGGCTAATACGGACGGACATACTGACAGACAGACGTACGGACGGACATACTGACAGACAGACGTACGGACGGACATACTGACAGACAGACGTACGGACGGACATACTGACAGACAGACGTACGGACGGACATACTGACAGACAGACGTACGGACGGACATACTGACAGACAGACGTACGGACGGACATACTGACAGACAGACGTACGGACGGACATACTGACAGACAGACGTTCGGACGGACATACTGACAGACAGACGTACGTACGGACATACTGACAGACAGACGAACGAACGAGAACAACAGCCTGACTAGCAGGCACAGACAGAGATAATCCTACATAAATACTACTGAAATTAGGAATAATATTGGGTCCTTTTCACGTTTCCCGGACCATCTACACACTGGCTGACCTTTCATTTATGCTTTCTAAGATTGTTCTACTTCAGAGGGGTGTCACGTTGTCTTTCCTCCAATTACAGCAGCGCCGATGTCGCATAATCTGTATTACATGACGATACATCTTTCAACGACCGCAGAACATCTACAACTGGACCTAACCCAAACACACCCCCTCCCCCCTACGCACAGCCTGAGCCTAGGTCCTACGAGAGAATCTTTTCGAAGAAAGCAGTACAATGTGACACCTATCTGTCCTAGACCAGGCTGAGAAAGTATGTAGATGGGCCGGAAGATGTGAATAGAACCTAAAATTGTTACGCCGCGTGTTAATTTTTTACCCACAATTCATTCTGCAGACCTGAGTTCAGAGGCCGTGACCCCGGCGTCGGCGACTCACAATAGAGATTTTACCTTTACCTTTCCCACCGAGAAGGCTGGAGCTGCGGGGTTTGCATCTGATGCTCAGTCTCCCACACCCCCGTCAGGGTACAACTTGAACAGGAGGAGGGCCTCTATGCATGACGCCATTGATCTCAACAAGATTGATATGCGGCTGTATGACAAAAAG